ATATAAGTTGTTCGGGTTTTTTCATCTAAAAAAAAGCGACATTAATTTCTTGACGACCTAATAAAAAAGTAACAGCACGCAGCGTTATTCGTGGGTATACTCATTGTATGCTTGTTGGCGAGTGTATTCATCCTAATATAGAAAAGCAACAACACACAATGAACAAAGGAACGGAACATTATTTGCTTTAAATTAAAAGAAATAGAACAAGGAACAATCTGAGAACGTAACACTAGGTGTTTTCACTTTGAAAACAACACGAGTCATTTTGGATTTCTTTGAAACATGATCAGAACGACGGCACCGAATAAACCTGAAAAATCTCAAACACTGAGTAGACGATCCACAGTAAACGCTAGGTGATCAATTGTGTTGTAGATATACGATCAAAGCTCTCTTTACTTTGTAGCTGTACTATATATTTTTTGGCATAATATGTTATTTTCAGATTTATTTCCAACGTAGATTAGTCACAATTTTTCAGTACACATATAAAAACTCTCTCGGGATCTGGGAAATAACAGAAATACGGAAATATCACTTAGCAGAATATCATCACGGAACAAAACTGTGATCCCCGTATATATACGCATACAATTCTCTTACTCCTCAGGACCTGGGAAATAAAATAAGTACGGAAAGATCACTTATAAAATATAATCACAGAATAAAACTATAAAATAAAAATTTGAAAATTATTGCAGCTCAAAAATCACAGAAACAAAGACATCAAAAATACTCAAAAAAGCACAAGATTAAATTATAAAAAACTCCAAAGAAAAATAAAAACAGCTCTCTACTGATAAAAAAATAAAACCTAAATACAACTCGCTATCACTAAAGTGCTTGAAATTGGGAAATAAAAAAAAGATAAATTAAGCGACAAATAAAACATAACACACTGTAGTTTATTGTTTAGTCATGAAGCAAATTTCATACCTAGTTATTCCCCCCAAAAGTTTACAAATATACTTATCATATGAGAACTGTTTTCATATATTTGAAATTTTTACTCTGCAGCTATGAAAGCGTTTCTGAAAGTTATGAAGTATTTAATTCTCAAGTTTCTACTGTTAACTTTTGATTTCTTGTTTAATTAGTTTTGTGTCTATATTTTAATTGTGTACAGTTAAGTTAGTTAGCATACTTTATAGGGACGAAATCTTGCATAGAAGAGATGGTAAATAAAGATTATTACCTTTGGCGTTAATTTGCTGTTTTTCTCCTCTATTCATGTTCGATAAGTTCAAACATCAATTTTCATTTATAGATAATGAGACGAGATAGATTTATGTTTAGGTATGGAACTTCAAATTAAATTTTTCAGCCAATATGTATGTGTTTTTTATACCTCACAAGACAAAAACGAGATTGATTTTAAAATTACACAAATTTTAAACATAAGTATTTACATACATAATATGATATCTATTATAAATAATTAGCAGCTAGGACGTATCACATCAATTAACCAAGATATTTTAACACAGTCTAACCCCACCCTCATAAGAAAAGTTTTGATAAAGGGATTGCGATACCAAATATTATTTCACATCTAACACATTCTGTACTCATGTTTACAGGCAAATGTGTTAATAGGTTTCTAAATATCACTGCTGTTTATGCACGTCACGGTCTGAAATATGTATGCCCCTTCTGGAAAAGTTTCCCTTACCAGTTTTCAACCTCCAATGTCAAGGTTAAATGCTTTTATGAGTACTTACAGCTCTAAGACAAAGACAATATGGCTTTACAATCTTACATTAAATAAAAATATTATATCGCCTAATATAAAAAAAGTTTGTTTCAGACAATATCCCTGCAAAGCTACATGAAGCTTTGCTAGCCATTCCCAAATTTCAACTGACAGACTAGAGGGAAGACAGCTAGTAAACAACCGAATAGCGCACCCACAAACTCAAAGTGCAGAGCACGAACAATAAGCCCTCGGATCCACAGTTCGAGCACGATAATCAAGGGTTTTTACTAATAACCTGTACTCCGTAAGTTAACGGTTAAGACACAGAGTCATAGGGTTTCAAATTATAACTTCTACTCTGTAAGTTAGCGGTTTAAGACACAAAGTCACATGTAACTTATAATTTGCATTATATATCTTAAGACGTGAAATACAACTTCTATTCCAAAAGTTAGGATTATGGAACTTGTTTGGTAAGTCCGGAGATCGAGACAGAACTTTTATCTGGATGTTTAGAGAACTGAGATATAATATTTATCCGGTAACTTAGTTATTTGAAATACAACTTTTATACGGTAGTTTAATTGTTTGAGATTCAACTTTTATTCCACAACTTACATGCTCTAGTGATTACAAATATTTTGATAATATCATGGTGTGGCCTAGTATTACGTTGCGTCTGTTGACTTATAGAATAGAAGTTAACCCTAGCATGTTAACCCTACTTAGACTTAAAGAAAATTATCTTTCTCTAAAACGATGTCACGTATTTTATTCGTCATTTCTTAAAATAAACATTTACCTATATCAGTATTTTTAGTGAAAGCCACATTTTATACCCTTCGTGACAGCCACTCTTTATTACCCTTTGTTACAGCCATGCTTTATTACCCTTTGTTACAGCCACGCTTTATCACATTTTATTGCAGTCATGAATGGCTACGTTTAGTGACAGACAAGATTTCTTGCCATTTGTGACAGCCATGCTTTATTACCCTTTGTGTCAGCCAAGCTTAATAACCCTTCGTTACATCCAACCTTTACTAGCCTTAGTAACAGTCACGATTTATTACCTTTAGTGAAAAACAAGCTTTATTACCTTACTGGTAGCCACACTTTGTTGTACCTAGTTCGTTACTTTAAACATGAAAACTAGAAACAGTTCATAAGTATTTTATCTTACTTATTACTTCAAAAATTTAAATCAGATATCAAATCCAGAAACAACTCACACGTGTTCTATTTTGCTTACTGTGTGAAGAGTAAAACCAAAACAAGTTGTCCACGTTTCATCTTATTACTTGAAGCATTAAAAGCAGAAAGAACTCTGATGCATTTTGTATAATTCGTCTTCTGAATATCGTTGGAAACCGCACCTACAACTTTGTATCCAGTTAAGTGAGAAAATTGGCGAAAATAGCAGACATAGTACGTTATTTAATATTTTCAGTTTCTCTTAGTAAACCTATATTGTTGAGTAATATTAAGAACAGAAGAAGATTAACTTTGTCAAGACTCCAGAGGTTTGCAATTAAACTGCTATTTCACTGTGAGCAATCATAATTTTATCCCTAACATTGAGTTGTATTCTGCTTTCACGTACACCCATTTCCTTTGGTCAACCTTCACAAAATCACTTTGTACTCGCGCTCTTGACTAAATATATCAGTTTGGAAGTAGCATATATATAGTACTGAACACAAAATTCAGGACTAATAAATAATTAGTTTGTACTTTTTGCAGGTAATTAATTTCCTAACTTATAACTCTCAAACGTTTACTGAAATATATTATGTCCTTAATGCAGAATCATATTACATTAATTATGAAAATAGGAAATGCTTTTTTTTTTCATTCATGTTGTATACAACTATCACAAAAATTATGAATCTTTAATTTATTTTCTCCAATCATATATACATCGAAGTTCTGTATTATACATTATATATGTATTTATTTGTATATATAAAATACATCTGATCTGGCATCGTTTTTAACACGTATAGTTTATGACACAATAGAACTCTTACAAATACTATAATAAAACTCGGATTCTGTAACTATTTCGATTAATCTTTATCTACTTCTTTTTTTCCAGTTAAACCCTCTTCACTAGAGATAGAAGGACCTCCAGGTCCTGTAGTTGCAGGAGATACAGTTTTGCTCACCTGCACTATAGAGGGTGCTAAGCCTTCGGGTAAGGCTACTTGGTATAATCAATCGAAAATAGTAGAACCACAACCTCACTCAAGCTCCGAATTAATGAGTGATGGTACTTTCAAAACAGTTAGTCAACTTGAGATCAGTGTTTCTAGGTTTGACCACCAGGGAACGTTTTATTGTAAAGGAACTAATCCCGTGGTACAGCAAAAAGGAGATGTTCCTCTCTTGAAGTCAACAGATTTGGAAATCTTATGTAAGTGTCAAGTCTCAGTTTATGTACTTGATTTAGTGTTGTTTCAATACAAATCAATTGAAAGAACGAAGCACGAATTTGGTTATTATAAAATATAATGTTGAATCTGGTATTTATTTTCACATTAGTTTTTCCACCTTCACACCCGATATTTTAGATAAGAAATGGTTTAAATACTGAATATTTTCTAATGATTATTTTATCTAATGTAGATTTACCGGTTGTGGTGGCTCAACCAGTTGGTGGTTTAATCGTTAAGGAGACCAAAGAGGCCAAGTTTTTCTGCTCCTTTGACGCCAATCCGTCCAACATTACTGGTGTCACTTGGTATAAAGATGGTGTGGAACTAGTTAACGGCGAAGACCAAAGGCTAGAGGTCAGTGGCTCGGAAGTTCCTACACTGACCATTCGCAATGTGTCCCGAACTAATCGAGGATTATATCATTGTAGCCTGAGAAATACTATTGGTATAGGGAATGCAACCAATGCAGTTGACGTGAACGTCCTTTGTAAGTGAGAGGTCACAAGTTTTCATTTCACTATTTGTAAGAGATCTTAAGTTTCTTAATTTTTCATTTAAATTAAAATATCACAAACTCGTTTATCACTTTGTTGTTTGAACTAAGATATCACAAGTTATTTTATCACTTTGTTGTTTGAACTAAGAGATTATTAGTTATTCTACCACTTTGTTGTTTGAAGTAAGAGATCACAAGTTATTCTATCACTTTGTTGTTTGAAGTAAGAGATCATAAGTTATTCTATCACTTTGTTGTTTGAGCAAAGAGATCATTAGTTATTCTATCACTTTGTTGTTTGAAGTAAGAGATCATAAGTTATTCTATCACTTTGTTGTTTGAGCTAAGAGATCATTAGTTATTCTATCACTTTGTTGTTTGAAGTAAGCGATCATAAGTTATTCTATCACTTTGTTGTTTGAGCTAAGAGATCATTAGTTATTCTATCACTTTGTTGTTTGAAGTAAGAGATCATAAGTTATTCTATCACTTTGTTGTTTGAGCTAAGAGATCATAAGTTATTCTATCACTTTGTTGTTTGAAGTAAGAGATCACAAGTTATTCTATCACTTTGTTGTTTGATCTAAGAGATCATAAGTTATTCTATCACTTTGTTGTTTGAAGTAAGAGATCACAAGTTATTCTATCACTTTGTTGTTTGATCTAAGAAATTATAAGTTTTCTGTCGCCTTTTTTGTTTCAGTTAGGATATCATAAGCTCTTTTATTCACTTTTATATTTGAATGAAGTGATTACAAGCTATTTTTCATTCTCTTCTGACAAGATTGTTAATTATGTTAATGAAAAATTCTGGAATTCCCAAATTTTGTGATTTGTATGTAACGTTGTGAGCTATATTTTAAAAGATGTTATATGTATGTTAGCTAGGGGGTGCAAGATGTTAAGATAGGTCTAGAAAACCTAAATAGTTCAAAGTAACGTCAAATTTTTCTCGTACATTCGAAACTAGATTGTAAATATAGAACAGTTGTTTCAAGAAAAGAATGAATTGGAAGATAGTGAATTTGCTTCAAGAGATTGAGACTTATTTCAGTCAGTGTGTGAAGTATTTTAGACCTGTGTTAGCCATCACGCTTACTGAGATACTTTTTATAAGTTCATAACACAAAAATACAATAACAGCAACTCGTACAGTAGGTAAATTCTGATTTTAATAATTACCACATCTCGACCTATAGTAGTATCGATGATGACTCGATACTATGGGTCGAAAAGTTGTAATTATTAAAATCAGGTCTTGCCCACTTGTTAAAGTTGCTGTTATAGTACTTTTGTGTTATTTATTCAGTCCAGTAGTTTTCACACCAAACATTAATTTGTAGAAGTTAGTTCAATTTACGTTAGTCCTAGTTCTGTTAGATGGCTTTTAACGCCAATTGTAACGTAGGTCTACAACAATTTACTACAGTTTACAAGCTTGCATAAATGATAGTGAGAAAGTGAAGTAATTTGTGATTGTTACATGGATTGGACTATGAATTACTTTCACCAGATAATTTAAAAGAACTTGCCAACGAAAGAACAACGCTACAACAGTAATATTTAATAGAGTAATTTGTTACATTCTATAGTTACGTCTCTTCATAGTACTTCTCTTCACAGAGTAATTTTAATTTATATCACTTGTGGTAAAATACATTATTTTTTATACTTATTCAAACAATCATTGGAAGTACGAGGTAAACTGTTTTAGATAGAAATATATCATTATATAACATTTTATTACACTAAACTGAAATATATAAGCCCAAACTTCTTTCTGACAGAGCTGAATCAAGGATATACAAATGTCCGATTCTCATAAGGTAGATATAGAATGCCTATTCGTTATGACTAGTACTAAACCTCACACATGTAATCATCACACATACACACGTAACAAGAAACTATATTTTATATTTCAATTTGAAAATCTCCTTTTACTATTCGTGACACTAAATTGATCAAACTTAACCCAGCTTTTTGTTGTACGAAGTTTACTACAAAATAATTATACCAAAACTATAATCCTAAATAAAGACAAAACTTCCTTTTCTCCTAAGTAATAACGTACATTTTACAACTTATGTTTTACATGTTTAAAACAAAGAAAATATTAATGTTTCAATTTCTTTCGTAGTTATGTTTACTCATATTTATTCTTGTTGACAATATCCAACACTATGCAGTATGTTTTAGGGTTGTATAAAGTGTGTTAAGAGTTGTGTTGAGTGAATTTTACCTTTTCTTAAAGAGAGTAATATTAAGTGATCTTAACCGTTTTATAACAATGTTAAGTAATCTTTACCATATCTTAACTGGGTTATATTAAGTAAAATTTACAGATTCTGAACGATAGTTGTGTCAAGTAATATTTACCGTTCCGTAAAGAGTGTTTTGTTAATTGGTACTTACCATTTCTTAAAAGAGTTGTGGGATATTTACTGTTTCTTAAGATAGTTAACTGACCTTTTTTCTTTTCTTAAGAGAATTGTGCTAAGTGGTCTTTACCGTTTCTTGAGAGAGACGTGTAAAGTGATTTTTACAGTTTCTTACAAGAGTTGTTTTAAGTGATATGTGCAGTTTCTTTAGAGGGTTGTATTAAGTGATATGTGCAGTTTCTTTAGAGGGTTGTATTAAGTGATATGTGCAGTTTCTTTAGAGGGTTGTATTAAGTGATATGTGCAGTTTCTTTAGAAGGTTGTATTAAGTATTATGTGCAGTTTCTTTAGAGGGATGTATTAAGTATTATGTGCAGTTTCTTAAGATAATCATTTTAAGTAATATTTATCGTTTCGTAAGACCCCCCCGTCGTTCAGGTAATTCTTCTCCCAACTTCTGTCAACGAAGGTGACAATAAGAGTGTAACACTGGTGTGCGATATTGTGGACGGAAATCCACAAAACTTAATTCGAGCTCGATGGTATAAAAACCAAGAACGTCTCGACGAACTTACAGAGAAAGAGATTATCTGGCAGAACCTCAAGAGGAACTTCACGGCTAATTATTCGTGTGAAGGGGAGAATTCCGCTGGCTGGGGCGACCGTTCAGAGCCGAAGGAGTTGATTGTGAACTGTAAGTATCTAAATGCTTGCTCACAGTTACTTAACACAGGCTTGTCACTAATCACGTGCTTTCTTTATTTGAAATGTACTTACTGGAAACAAGGGGTGTTGTCAGTTCAAAGGCTTAATCTAGGATATCGAAACTTGGACTGGCTTTATAAATGATTTCCGACACACAAAAAATAGAAAATAAAAAAGGCTTGCTCTTAGATCAATGAAATATTTCCGCTAAGTTTTCTATTGCTACATTAGAAAAAGGAGTTACTGCTATATGAGTCTATGAAATGTGTCAGAATTGCTACAGATTCTTTAAACAGACACACACAAACACATACGTTCACACACACACACACACATATAGTTATATATTATACCGAAATTCACTGTTAACAGTACCAGAAAATATAAAATAATTTGATGTATCAAGTGAATTATATACATATTTAGAATATAACTTGTTACAAATGCACCATCAGCCTGTTTTGGAATTATTAACTAAGTTAATTTACTCAAACGCTACATATATTTCCCAGTTTAAAACAAGAAAACAGTATTAGTTCAGAGTTAAGAAAGTAATTAAAGTCTTTAATTAAAAACTTAGTAAAATATGAGGATGAAAAGTGTATAGACTGTTAATGAATTACGATTGTTAAACAAGTGGGAACCTCAATAGCCGCGGCTGTAATTAAATCTCAGATCGGTCAAGAGATGGAGCTATGTGCTAATAGTTTGTATTTGACAAAAACTCAGAGGCATTCTATGAGCCGCTATGCCGCGGCTAAAAATGTGTTCGTGAAAACTGAAGTTTATATTTTTTTATACATTACACGCGATTAGGTTTAAAAAAGGAATGATACGTTCTTTTCGTACAGTTATATAAAACTAGAAAATGATGAAACGTTCTCGTTCATTAAGAAATATAAAACGAGAAAATAGTGATATATTCTTATTCCATTAAGGGATATAAAACAGAAAATGATTATACCCTGTTATTCCATTAAGGGATATAAAAACAGAAAACGATGATACATTATCATTCCATCAGTGGGATATAAAACCAGACAACGGTAATACATTCTCATTCCATTAGTGGGATATAAAACCAGACAACGGTGATACATTCTCATTCCATTAGTGGGATATAACACCAGACAACGATGATACATTCTCATTCCATTAGCGGGATATAAAACCAGACAACGATGATACATTCTCATTCCATTAGTGGGATATAAAACCAGACAACGATGATACATTCTCATTCCATTAGCGGGATATAAAACCAGAAAATGATCATAGATTCTTATTCCATTAGCGGGATATAAAACCAGAAAATGATCATAGATTCTTATTCCATTAGCGGGATATAAAACCAGAAAATGATCATAGATTCTTATTCCAGTAGAAAATGTATAGCTAGAAAATAATCTTACATTTTAACTTCAATAACAAAATTCAAGAATTAATGTGTTTTTCTCCTATGTAAAAGATACAGTTAGAGATTGTAATTTAAACTCGAGACTAGGAAAAAGAAAAGTAATACACAAACAATTTCAAAAAATATAGCATTTTTAATAACCATAATGATGAATTGTGCTTTCATGATGGTCAAAGTCAATTTAATTGGAATACGATCATGACAATTTTTCAGTATGCATCAGAACTAAAGAAAAATAACAAGATAACTAATATGATACGATATAAGAACATCAAAGATCGTGCAGCCTCTCTGGAGGATGCGTTAGGACACGAAAAATATGCAACTAATTTTGATGAATCTAAAGTAGAATGACTAGCTAATATTTTAAACATTAGTCAACTTCACAATGAGAGCTCGTTAGGGAATTCGTCGAAACAGTAAATCTTTTTTTTTCGGTTTACACGGTTTTGTTAGTTGGAAGTAGTCCTACAGAAAAGTGGATTTGCTCTTATCCATTCAGCACGATGTAATCAAGAAAAGTAACTTGTGCTAATTCTTTGTATAAGTAAGACAACATCTATTTTCGAGAAAACAGCTTTTACGGATAAAATGTTTTCGGCTTTTGAAGAAATTCTAAAGTAACGACGCGCCTTATATTGCGTAATATTAAAAACTTATTAAAACTTTTGTTTTAGTTTTGAAACTGAGATGACTATTTTTAAGTGTATAATTATATATGAATGTCGTATAGTAAGAAAGAGAGGAATAACTTATGAGAAAGAACACTAAACCTGCTTACTTCAGATGATGGTGTCTACGTGGTTTATTGAGCTAACGTTGCATGAAAATATTTGCTAAAGGTCAAGTCTTACCAGTGTGTATATACATAAATATATGTATAAATTTTTTCAATCTATAGGAGTAAGCTAGTGACGTTAAAATGTTGTTAGGGTATATCAATATATTTATAATCTATAAGAGTAAGCTAGTAACGTTAAAATTAAAATGTGGTAAGGTATATTGGTATATTTATAATCTATGAGAGTAAGCTGGTAACGTTGAAATGTTGTTAGGGTATATTAATATTTATATAAACTATAGGAGTAAGCTAGTAACGTTAAAATGTTGTTAGGATATATCCATATATTTATTATCTATAAGAGTAAGCTGGTAACGTTGAAATGTTGTGAGGGTACATTAATATATTTATAATCTATAGGAGTAAGCTGGTAACGTTGAATTGTTGTAAAGGATATATTAATATATTTATAATCTATAGGAGTAAGCTGGTAACGTTGAAATGTTGTAAGGGTATATTAATATATTTATAAACTATAGGAGTAAGCTGGTAACGTTGAATTTTTGTTAGGGTATATTAATATATTTATAATCTATAGGAGTAAGCTGGTAACATTAAAATGTTGTTAGGGTATATTAATATATTTATAACATGTTTTATGTATCTAAGAGAGATGCTGTATAAAAATTCAGATGTTATCAGCTTATATATCATTATATACTATATAAAAATAACATGTACTTCGGGAAAGTTGAAATGTTTTCATTGTATACACCTTATTTTTAATACTTTACATATAAATAGTAATTTTTCATCAAAGCAAAACATTTAGTGAAGCTCAAGTGTTAACAGTATATATATATGTGTGTGTGTGTGTGTGTGTGTATTATTTTGAAACTATAAGAACAGGCCTTGATGAAGTAGAAATGTTGTCCTTTTACGTATATTAATATTTAATATGTAGGTTAATCTATACTAGTAATTTTTGGTAAGGATTAGATGTTCATAGTGTATAATTATATATATATATATATATATTTAATAAACAAGAATAATCGTAGGTAAAGCTAAAATGTTGTCATTGTACATATATTATTTTTTAGTGTATAAGAGTATTTTTGGTAAAGTTTCCAATGTTATCAGTATATATATATATATGAAATGTTGTAGTGTATTTATATTCGAAAAACAAACAAATGTGATAAAATATGAATGTACATAGAAATAATAAAATACTCTTTGATGAATAAAGGCAGCTGGTGAATATGGAAGCGAAACGGCTGATGAAACGTTTTGAATAATTATCTTTATCAATTGCGATCTTCTTAGCCCTTTTTCTTTATGTATAGATCTATATAGTATGGATAAAAAAATATTTGTCTGCCACAAAATTACTTAAGGACAAATTAATGACGCTAGGCTTGTTTATGAATTAATGTATTAATTATTTTAAAACTATAATATTATTTTTTATGTTCAAACTTGCTACAATTGCTACCTTGATGCAATTCCTTCTGTATTAAGATGTTTAAGGCATTCTGTATTTTGAAAATAGTATTAGTTTCTTCTTTTTTTAATGAGAAACTTAACGTGTTCTATTGTAGTTGCTGTTGGAAGTAGCAGACTTGCTTCATTAAAATGTGAAATAAATTTTATTGTAATTAGAGTGGGGAACTCAGATACTTTGCATCATTATAAAGGTAAACTGACTTTGTAATTGGAACTCGAAATCTCTTGTTCTTTTGTAACGTTAAAGTTGATTTGATGTAATTATTGTGCGCTCTAGATCTTCCGGGTCCTACAACTGTGATAGAACAAAGTCCTCCGGCAGTTAAAGGTAATCCTGCTAGTTTAGAATGTATAGTAGAAGATTTGGGTCGTCCTCCGGCTACTGCTTTTCGTTGGGAACACTCCAGCAAAGTTCTTCCCGTTACGATCCAGAAGCTGACTATTGCGTCGATGGATATTAACACCATCGGGGATTACACATGTTCAGCAGTGAACGCTGTTGGCGCTGGTCCAGCGGGAAAATTCTATCTCTCTGTAGAAGGTCAGTTTATTTTACGGTCTATCTATCTATTATGGAAACATGTATAGAAGATTACTTTCTTTAACGTCAAATATTACTTTTACATTGTTTTGTACACAACATACATTACTGTACTCAAAATACAGTAACTTTAAAAAAAAAAGGAAAAAGAAATTTAGTAATAATAAAATAATGAATACGTCATTTAAAGAGTTTTGGCTCGTCGTTTGATATCCCCACTTTCATTGTGTAAGAAAAATTATAATGACGTTAATACTGTTCAAATCATTTCGATTTTTAGTTTATCTGTTCTTATCAGATGAATTTATTTTTGTTTTTATCCTAATTTATCAGTTAAAATGTTATGCCAAAAAATAAATCATTGTTTAAAAATCATGTACTCCACAAACGTAGATTAATGCAGTACAACGATCATATCATAAACATATGTTTTAGCCGATCTAATTATTCTTCAGACTGCTAGATTTTGCAATATACTTTCTGTTTCACCATTCTTATCCATTAGAGATAAGTAGATAAAATATAATAACCTCCTGATTGTGGATGCCTTCTTCCAACCCACATAGTTGCCTGGCAACAGCTGCTTTAAATCCTCTAAAGTAGGGTTCTTGTCATCAAAGTGTCAAACCCAAAAGCTCTCTCAAGAGCACACGCCAACCTGCAGTTGACATGTGGTTGCTTTCTGGAAATTATCCAGACTGAAAACGTTTCGAACAGACTACACCAAAGAATTCAGAATTTAATTGAAAAAGTGTTTTGATGTTTTATAATAGGATTTTAATTGCTATAATCTTAGTTATATTCCTTTGATCTAGCTTGTAATCAGAATGAGTATCTTTCTCAGTCTGAGTCAGTATTAGTGATTAAACTTTTAAATATTCTGATCTTGCTAATGAAAAATATAGAGGTTAAAATTTTCAAACAAAACTCAATTAAAATAATTATATTCAGTTAAATGTATATAATTATGTTTCATATATTTTGAAACATCTCGTTAAAATGTGATTATATTTTTTCTAGCACCTCCTGCAATTATTGATTATTTACCAAAGATGAATGGAGTGCCCTATGATGCCAAAACTATCAGCATGTTTTGTAGAATTGAATGTGATCCACTTTGTGAAGTAGAATGGTTTAAAAATGAAGAAAGCATCAAAGATTCGTATTTATATTCAATTCAAAAGTCGATCTTACCTGCAGATGAAAGCAAAGGCTATTTCACTTCTGTTGTCAGTACCCTCAAGTGGAATATGACAGCTTGGCCAGGGGGCAGCCTTGACCGTGAACTCGACAACGCCAACTACACGTGTGTTAGTAGTGGAAATAATGCAGGGCCTGGAGTCAGTACATCCTCAGAATTTAGAGTAGAATGTGAGCATATATTTAGTTTTGAACCTTATTACTTTTGTTTGATTTTCCCTCGACGAGGAAAATCTCAGTAGCCAAGGAAGCTGAGAATCGATATAAATATCTTATATACATTAGATTCACGTATTTTAGGCATAATTTCCATAACTACTCAGTCAGGATCAAATAGCGAAGTATTATAAACTGAAATATGAGCTATGACAGTTTTTAAACTTCTTTAGTTTACAGCACGAAAAATAGGTCTTTGTTAATTATATACGTAATGTCTTTGAGAAGAATAACAAGATATTTTGCTCTGCAGATTTGAATTGTTTTATCATTTACGAAAAAAAACAAAACATATTTATGTATTATTTCAGAGATACATAAATAACTTCTTCATTCCATTTGGCGTACTTGATACGATTTTACAATTTACGTTCATTGCTTTGCTTAACTTTCGCCCGATTTACGTTCATTGCTTTACTTAACTTTCGCCCGATTTACGTTCATTGCTTTGCTTAACTTTCGCCATTGTTCTAAATCTACAAGTTATTTTAAAGCATTTAATGCTGGGAATATAAATCTAAAGCGAATATAATTTACTCGCCTATGTCTTCATTACCGAACTATAGACATAATAACGACATGCTTTCATTGCCACCTTTTAGGTTTAGCTTTCTACTGTCACTGTACAGACTTGTCATAAGAGTATCTTAACTTATATTGAATTAGATAAAAGAAACATTCAGAACTTGCTCATAAAGGCAAAGTAGAGAGCTTATCATAGAGGCATGATAAAGAATGGCATATAGCTTAGATAGTAGAGGCGTGATGAAGTTTGCATGTTGAAAGGTGGTATGCAGTTAGTTAGGCTGAGTTTTAATGAAATTCACATGTTAGTAAGTAAGGCTAAAGCCTGAATAAGCTCATATTTTGAGAGGCAGTATGTAGTTAGTTAGTCTTAGATGTGAAGAATTTCACATTTTAGAGGGTAGTATGTAGCTGAGACGTGATGACGTATACATATTAAAAGGTGGTATGTAGTTAGTAAGGCTGAGGTTTAATGAATACCACACGCGAAAGCGTGATATCCAGTTAGTAAGAGTGTGGTATGATGAAGTTTACATATCAAAGGCTGGTATGCAGTTCCTAAAGTTGAAGTCTGATAAAATGCACTGACATATTGAAACAGCACTACTTCTTCTAGGTATAAAAACTAAGTATACAGCTTAAAACTTAAAGTTCCAGGAATACTACAGTTTCGTTAAAATGTGTTAGATATTTTCTCGACGATCCTTTATTGTTACGGCGATTGTGCCTTGGTTATTATTAATACTACTCCTTTATACAATTAAATCAAAATACTTCATTGTACTTATTTATGCCAGGTGTTAAACGCCGAGAGCTGACGAAGCAATGGAACCAAGAACATTAATGAAAAAAATTTGCTGGAGGGGTAATTTATCAAATTCATTTAATTGTACAAATGACGTAGATTGTGTAAATAAAATCTAAAATTTATCGTGAGTTTCGTCATTAATAAGTCAATGTGGTATTTTGTATTAGCTAAAGAAACATAACATTTTGTTCTTTTTAGCGAAGGGTTTGTAGTTTGTAGTTCAAGAGTATGCGTAGTAGAGCAATCAAGACTGGATAAATGTTTCTAAATTCATTAGTTACTGTTTTGGGCTAGGTGTGGCCTAGTTTTAGCGTGCCGGATTATATATATATCATTGTCCATGAATCTCTTCTTGTTGCCATAAAAATAATCGTGTTCAGCAAGTTGGAGTTGTGGATGCGTTATAAGAGTAACTGTAAACTCACGCTATTAGTGTAGCCCAAGAATTGGCGATGGGTCCTGTTACCTTACCTCTAGTGTATCAGTTCAAGATTAGGGACGGCTATGCACAGATAGACCTTGTGTAGCTTTAGGTGAAATTCTCAATCAAAACTAAAAATCTATATTCTATAAATACACACCTATAAGTTAAGCATGAATGTTTCTCTCTTTTACATCTTACCTTTTAAACGAAGCTAGTCTTCAATTTAAGGTATTTTATTGTGTATTCACTTCTTTTGTTTCAGTTCCTCCTGAAAATGTTACAGTATCTGTGGAACATATAGACATTTTGGAAGGAGATGTTCCAGGTAATATTAACTGTTCAGCAATATCCTGGCCTCCCAGCGAGTACAAATGGAAGTTCTCCAGTATAATTATTGGACATTCTTCTCAGCTTTCTCTTAATTACTCTATTTCCCGAGAGAGGGCGGGAACCTACGAATGTGTGGCTAGTAACCGACATGGCAAAGCAGTGGCCAACACTGTGATTAATGTTATGTGTAAGTAAGCCATATAAGATAACTCTTCCAGTGAAGTGTAATTTATTTGAATAAATTTGAACTTTATTTTTTTCTTTAACCCCTCCCACCAAAACAAAAACAACAACAAAACTTACCTCGATGTACTTTATGGACAATGAATGTATTTTACTGATATGGAAATTAACAATATTATTTTGTTTCAGTTGCGATAAAGTTATTTATCGTTGTTACAAGTATATAAGTATTGGGCCTTCCATTTGCCAATGAATTCTGTCAAAATTGACCACGTGTGTATTGAATGGCAGAGATCTTTTTCCAGAGCAACCGTAAAACAGTACATTAATATCACAAAAATTAAAAACTAACAATTATAATTAAAGTATACCGAGCCTTTATCTTAAATGTGGACACTATTAACTAAAGTAACTGAGATTTCCAGCTAATTTACTGCGATTGTCGTTTCCAGTGAGAATAAAAAACAATGACGATGTCCCCTGGAAATGTATTTTGCTTCTAGGCAGAACGTGATTTGGAAAGTATTGGGAATAAACTCCGGTATTGGTAATTTTACGACAGAAGTTGATTACTAGCGAATCGGAAAATGAGTTTTTCTGGCACTCTAGATACTGCAAGTGACCATTAAAAAGCATGGACTAAACTAGTTTCTAATTAGTGTCACATTTGCCTTAAGGCTGGCTGTCTTGCTTCGTAATTCTCCGAAAGATCTCTTATTGTATATTCGATGTATTTTAAAGTAATTATGTAACCAGAATGCGTTCTGATAGATTAGGGTTCTCTTTATTCGAGTCCAACGGGAGATAATATTGTGCTTTCTTGTTTCTTTGTGTTCAACATCTCTTGTGTCTGAAAGTGCAAGAATTAAAACTTCAAATCAAGTTTCTGAGGAAATTTAAAATATTTTGTCACATGCTGATCTAACTTTTACGAAAAAAAAAAAGTGAAACTACGTTACTCTTGTTGGAAATAAATATATTACATTTAAATCAATTATGGCCATGAGAAAAGGGGTAAAATGTGCAGTAATTTGATGTCTTTTGCTCTTCGTCAGTACAGAAAGTGATGAGGTTAAATGTATTTATTTATATTTGTATTCTTTTTGACAGTTAAAACATCATATCTCAAACGAAAAGATATAATTTTGAAATAGTTTTAAGTTCATTCTTTTCTTTAATTAGTTTTTTAGGTTGACAAGGAGTCCATCAAAGAACAGAAGAAATGAGTACATGACATTATTAAAATGTTGAATGTAGTGGTACCAATACTGAAAACGAGAAGACTACAACGTTTTAATTTATTTTAACCAAACATAATAAACTTTAAAATTTGAATAATCTCGATAAAAAAAAAACTCTAATTTAAACAATAATTTAATTTCTAATTGAGAAAGACATAACATTAGTTTGCTAATTTATTTGTAGATAATCCGAAATGTACAATTTACCAAGACGGAGAAACTGTTATAGTGTGTCAAGCTGAAGCTAACCCTGATATTGTCGATTTTACTTGGATGAAGAACAACGAAACACTGGGGGATCATTCTGTTGAGGAGACAACTAGAAGCATTCTGGATCTGGGAGATTCTCGACTAGAGCACTTTGGGAAATATTACTGTATCGTTAACAACAGTATAGGTGAATCGGTTCCGTGTATGTTAGAACTCACAGGTGTGGTTGGTAAGTCGAGGCCTAAATCTGAGTAGTGTTAATTACTCTAATGCCTAAATTACACTGTGACTGAGTAAAACAAGTTAAAAACACAACTATGACAGAACACTCTAAAACTTTTGCCAAAAATGAGATAAACCTACTATAGAAGTAACACGTATACGTAAGTGCCAGTCGCAGATCTGAGTAGCATTATTATCTCAATTAGATGTTCAGGCTTTGTTTAAAAAGGTAGTAATTAAGTTTGGTATTAGAAAAAGCATGTACAAAGAAATCGACTATAGTTTGTAAAGTTCATCATGCGAAACATCTATTTGATGAACATGGTTACCTGTCCGGTTTCATTAATACGAACTGGACAAGTTAGGAAATTACTTTCTGGTACAACTTCTTGCGTTATGGACAAGACACGAAACTGATGCATATGATTACGTGTCAGACTTCATTAATATGTATTGGACAACACACAAAACTACTTGTTAATGCACCGACTTGTATTTATTTGGCTTCATTAGTACATATTGGATAATACATGAAGCTATTTTCCTTTACACCTACTCGCTTGTCGGGCTTTACCAATACATATTAGACAAGTCACAAAACTACTTTATGATGTACGTGATTACTTGTCCGAGCCCATTAGTATTTATTGAACAATATACGAAACTACTACTTCCTGATGCTGATGCATAGAGCTGTCCCGTTTTATCAATACATATTGTACAGGCCGGAAAACTACTTTATGATGTACGTGATTACTTGTCCGAGCCCATTAGTATTTATTGAACAATATACGATACTACTACTTCCTGATGCTGATGCATAGAGCTGTCCCGTTTTACCAATATATATTGTACAAGCCGGAAAACTACTTTATGATGTACGTGATTACTTGTCCGAGCCCATTAGTATTTATTGAACAATATACGAAACTGCTGCTGATGCATAGAGCTGTCCCATTTTATCAATACATATTGTACAAGCCGTAAAACTACTTTATGATGTATGTGATCACTTGTCCGAGCCCATTAGTATGTACTGAACAATATACGAAACTACTACTTCCTGATGCTGATGCATTGAGCTGTCCCATTTTATCAATACATATTGTACAAGCCGGGAAACTACTTTCTGATGCACCTGTATTCCTGTTTGACTTCATAAACACATATTGGAAAGATCACGAAATTACTTTTTAATGTATTTACTTATTATCCGGAGTCACGAATACGTATTCGACAAGTTATGTAACTACTTTCTGAGACTTTTTATTGCCTGTCAGGCTTCATTGTTACGTATTGGATAAGTCACAAAACTATTTTCTGATTTATTATCAGTTCGAATTCATTAAAACGTATTCGACAAGTCACAAAACTGCTTTCTGATACATATCACTGACTGTTCGGCTTCATTATTATGTATTGGATAACACACGAAACTACTTTCTAATACAACTGCTTGCCTGTTGGGCTTCATAACTATGTATTGGACAAGTCACGAAACTACTTTGTGATGTACAAACTTACCTTTCCTGATTTAATATTACGTATTGGGAAAGTCACGAAACTATTCTTTGATACATCTTACCTGTCAGTATTCGTGAATATATATTGGACATATATGAAGAGAGAGGGGTATGTGTGCCCATGCAATATCTAAGACATAGCAACTATAAAAGAGTTTGATGAATATGGACTTGGGAATAACATGTCACTAGATCGAGGAAGAAGGAAGAACGTGCCACAAAATCGTGAAAGAAGACATATGTATGGAGACTGCAATATAAAATGGTACTGATCATGTTTGAAGTAAAAGGGGATTAAGAAACTGGTTCACCAATTGAGTAGCACCAGAGAAAGATTCTTAAATCATCTAAGAAAAAAAATCGGAGATATTGTTCACATATTTCCACACTGTTGGGCTGACACCTAAGAAATATCTAACAATTCACTAATATGTACTTGAAAAAAAAAATAGTTAAGATAAATTATCTTGCAAAACAAGTCCAAGGAAATAGTCTTAAAATTTACAAAACAAGTCCAAGGAAATAGCCTTACAGTTTACAAAACAAGTTCAAGGAAATAGCCTTACAATTTATAACACAAGTTAAGGAAATAGCTAAAAAAACACGAGCTCAAGAAAGTGGCCTCCCAAAGTACATAAGTTGTAATAATGGCTTTACACTTAGAACGTATTTTCCTGAAAATGTCAAGTTGCTCTCGATAACGTATCTGTGTTCTCTTTTGTTATCATCTCAATGTAATGTTCTTCTGTTATCGTCTCAGTGTAATACTCTTCTGCTAACATCTCAGTGCATTCTACTTCTGTCGATACATTTCTGTATTCTATTTCTGATAACATCTCAGTGCATTCTACTTCTGTTAATATATTTCTGTATTCTATTACTGATAACATTTCAGTGCATTCTACTTCTGTCGATATATTTCTGTATTCTATTTCTGATAACATCTCAGTGCACTTTTATTTTCTGTTAACATTTCATGCATTCTTCTCGTGGTAACAAATCAGTGCTCTGTTTTTCTGTTAAAATTATGTTGATGTGATCTCACATCTACCGTCTGCTGCACAAAATACGAAATGCAATTCAAGCAGCTAGTCTATTTTTCACATGCTAAATATCATCTGGTCTTGTTACATTTTGTCAAAGGTCCACTAGACTAGTAACATAGTCTGTTTACATGTGTAATAGCGTTGAGATAATGTTGACATTAACACAAAGTGCAAAAAACAAAACAAAAAAACATTTACAATGTTTTAATAACACATATTTGACCAGATTATACTCTGTTTTTTATGGAATGGGTCGTTGTGACGACGTCTTGTATTTCTTAGGTACGGCAGGATGGGGACCAGGTTTTGGCGATGAAAGTCTGATTATTATAGTCGCTGTTGTTGCTGCTATTATTGTTGTATTCATAATCGTAGTCACTATCATTCTAATGATAGTAAGAAGAAGGACTCATGGTATGTATATGTTTTCCTTAATCTTATACACCCATAGATGTTTAGGAGATGAAAATAGTCTTGTAGATACTACCTAAAAATGATGTAACTCTTTATAGAAATATCGTTGGAACTAATGTCTACTACACAAGGTTTATTTGACTATGATCTTTATACTCAGTAAGGCTTGAATAATCTTTCTACACAATAAAATTCGATTCATCTACATACCGAAAAAAGTTTGATTAAATTATTTCGAGTAAGAAAGACTAGATCTGACATCTATTCAGACTCGACCAAATTTCTACTCAAAGTAATTTGATGTCGTTGACAGGAAAGTCTCAGTGATCTGTTGTCATGGGACTTAACCAAATGAAAAAGAAAGAAGACAAAGTAATGTATCATTTTGATTTAGGAAGTTCGGATAACCCGTTAACGTGAAGAACTTAGCCATGTGAGATAGGATAATTTATTATATCTTTGTAGTTTAGAAAATTCAGAGTACCTGTTAACATGAAGAGCTTAATCAATTAACATGGTATTGTTTAGTCTATTATTTTGACTTAGAACATTCGGATAACCCGTTAACATAAAAATCTTGAGAAAAGGATAGTGGACTTGTTTAGATTACGATTTTGTTGGGTTTGGTGTTGTTTATATAAATAGATTCTTATATTTTCATCGCGAATGAGTTTTGCAAAGCTGTTAACTTTACCAAATATTTTTGTACTTATTTTTCTTTCATCGTTATGGTAGCACAATTTTTATACTAAACAGACTTGCGCTCGTTAGCCGTGAAATCCTATACAACGTACAGCTGAGAAACCGAATTTCGAACTCCGCGTATTCAGCTCCTTTCTGCCTCGCTAGGATCAATGATAAGGTGTTTTCCAATGAATCTCTGTATGTCTTTAAGTCTGTAAGAAAGCATGGAGTAGATTGTAAACATACGGACATTTATGCTGTTAAAAACTGATACATTTGTTTTAGATTGACTATTATTTTAGATTTTTGAATTTGTTTGTTTGTTTTTAATTATGCACAAAGCTACACAAGGGCTATCTGTGCTCTGCCCACCACGAGTATCGAAACCCGGTTTCTAGCGTTGTAAGTCCGCAGACATACCACTATGCCACTGGGGGGCTTTTGAATTTGTCAAATATTTTTAGATATAGAGAATAGTTGTTTTTTCGAGTAAGATTTTGAAACATTACTAACATTTTAAGAGGAATTTTACATTTTAATTCTTATATTCTAAAAGAACAAGTCTCTAAAAAACTTTATATTGTCAATTCTTAACATACAATATTGAATTAACATGACACTTACTTGGTGCCAAAGTACTCGGTACGTCTTATAGATGGAGTAGTTCCAAGTGCGCAGTTCTGCTCGTGCATGACGGTTGAACACATAACGATTTATCATTCAAGATTGACACCGTGTAACCACTTTGAGTGAGAATGGAACAAGGAATATATTAGCTATCTTGTCTACTTCAGAGGGGTATCAATCTTTTTAACCTGTGTACCACTTGACATAACCAAAGATTTCTATGTACGTCGATGCAAAATAATTATGTTGCATAATAGATTCATCTATTAATAGACACGTTAGATAGAACATTACTTAGGTTAAACTCCCGTCTTTAAGTTACAACCCCGACTAAACTTACTTACCGTATGGTAGAATTCACTGGCTTTTGGTACTGCTTCAACCAAGCTGTTTTATTAAATAACTTATGCATTATAAAATACGAAAACATGAAACTACTTTGACTGGTTATGACAGAGCTATTTATTTTCAGTTTGTATTAATATTTAAAATCTTCAAAATTAATACTTAAAAATTTTGTTCTCGAAATTCAATTTCGTGCGGATCAAAATGACTTAATAAATAGCATAAATTTCCTGAATTTTTTCAATATCTTTACATGATATCAAAGACTTCCGTATGGATGAGCTATTATTTTACAGTATATTTCAGTATCGTGAAATCACGCGGTATATTAAACGCTATTCTTCTACCGTAGATTTCTATGTCGTTAAGTCACACGATACGCTAAATGATATTATTCTACAGTATATTTCGGTATGATGGAGTCACTTGGTGTACTAAACGATATCCTTCTACAGTACATTTCGGAATGTTGGAGTCACTTGGTGTACTAAACGATATCCTTCTACAGAATATTTCGGTATGGCGGAGTCATTTGGTGTACTAAACGATATTTTTCTACAGTATATTTCGGAATGTTGGAGTCACTTGGTGTACTAAACGATATTATTATACAGTATATTTCGGAATGTTGGAGTCACTTGGTGTATTAAACGATATCCTTCTACAGTATATTTCGGAATGCTGGAGTCATTTGGTGTACTAAACGATATTATTATACAGTATATTTTGGTATGGTGAAGTCACTTGGTGTACTAAACGATATTATTCTACAGTATATTTCTGCACTGTAGAATAACAAGGCATATTAAGCGATATCCTTCTACAGTATATTTCGGAATGTTGGAGTCACTTGATGTACTAAACGATATTATTCTACAGTATATTTCGGTATGGCGGAGTCACTTGGTGTACTAAACGATATTCTTCTACAGTATATTTCGGTATGGCGGAGTCATTTGGTGTACTAAACGATATCCTTCTACAGTATATTTCGGAATGTTGGAGTCACTTGGTGTACTAAACGATATTATTCTACAGTATATTTCCATATTGTGGAGTCACTTGGTGTACTAAACCAAATCCATCTACAGTATATTTCTGCACTGTGGAATAACAAGGCATATTAAACGATATCCTTCTGCGGTAGATTTCTCTACTGTGGACCAATGTGGTATGTTAAACAATATCTTTCTGCAGTAGATTTCTGTACTGAGGAAAAATGTGGTATATCACACAATGTCCTTGTACAGTAGTTTTCTGTACTGTGTAGCAACGTGGTATATTAAATAATGCCTTTCTTCAGTAGATTTCTCTAGTGTGAAACAACGTGGTATATGAAACAATTCTATGGCGGAAATAAATTTATATATTGTACAAAATCTTTCTACAGTAGATTACTGTAGTGTTGAAAACCGTCGTATATTAAACAATATCCTTCTACAGTAGATTACTATACTCTGGAGAACTTGGTGTATTAGACAATATTCCTCTGCAGTAGATTTCTGTATTGTGAGACATCGTGGTATATAAAAGATATCATTCTCCAGTATATTTTTTTTTTTTACTCTGGAACACTGATATATTAAATAATATCCTTCTACTGGAGGTTTCTGTTCTGTGGAACAATGTGACATATTAAAAAATATACGACTGCAGCAGATTTCTGTACTGTGGAACACTGTGATATATTAAATAATATCCTTCTACTGGAGGTTTCTGTTCTGTGGAACACTGTGATATATTAAATAATATCCTTCTACTGGAGGTTTCTGTTCTGTGGAACACTGTGATATATTAAATAATATCCTTCTACTGGAGGTTTCTGTTCTGTGGAACAACGAGGTATATTAAACGATATCTATCTGTAGTAGATTTCTGTACTGTGAAGCAAAGTGGTGTATTAAACATTATCACTCTGCAGAAGATTTCTGTACTCCGGAACAACGTGTACATGAAATAATATCCTTTTCACTGAATTTTACTACTGCGGGACAACGCAGTATATGAAACAATATGCTTCTGTAATAGATTTTTGTAGTGTGGAACAACGTGGTATATCACACAATATTCTTCTATAGTAGATTTATGTATTGTGGAGCAAACTCGTGTATCAAACAATATCCTTCTGCATTATATTTCAATATTGTGGTATTTGTTGTTTGTTTTACAGCAAAGCCATAACAAGCTATCTGCTGTGTCCACTGTGTGGAATCGTACTTTTGGCTCTGTAAATCCGTAGACTTACCAATGTCCCACTGGGTGACTCTATACTTTGAACTCACATGGTGTATTAAACAATATCCTTCTACCGTCATTTTTGTACTGTGGAGCAAAGTGATATATTAAATAATATCGTTCTACAGTAGACTTCTGTACTGTGCAGCAATGTTGTAGCAATGTGGTGTATTAAACAATGTCCTTCTATTGCAAATTTCTGTTCTATAGAGCAATGTGGTGTATTAAAAAATATCATTCTGCAGTAAATTTCTGTATTGTGTAGCAACGTGGTACATGAAACAATATCATTCTGCAGTAAATTTCTGTATTGCGGAACAACGTGGTATATGAAAAAATATCCTTCTGCAATAGATTTTTGTACTGTGGAACAATGCGGTATGTTAAATAATATCATTATACAGGAGGTTTCTGTATTGTAGAACAGTGATATATATATTAAACAATATTCTTCTGCAACAGATTGCTGTACTGTCGAACAACGAGGTATATTAAACGATATCCTTATGCAGTAGATTTCTGTATTGTGAAAAATGTAGTATATTATACAATATCGTTCTACAGTAGACTTATGTATTGTGTAGCAACCTCGTGTATTAAACAACATCCCTCTGCAGTATATTTCTGTACTTTGTAACACCGTAATATATGAAACAATATCGTTTTACAATATATTTATTTACTGTGGAACAACGTTGGATATTAAACAATATTCCTCTGCGGTAGATTTTTATACTGTAGAGCAACGTAGTATATTAAACAATATTCTTCTACAGTATATTTCTGTACTATAAAGCAATGTGTGGAATTAAAAATATCATTCTGCAGTATATTTCTGTATTGTGGAACAACGTGGTAATATGGTATATTGAACAATATCCTTCTGCAATACATTTTTATATTGTAGAACAATGTGGTATACAAAATAATTTGGAACTCTGGAACAACGTGTTATATGAAACAATATTCTTCTACAGTAGATTTCCGTAGTGTGGGATACCACAGTATATGAAATACTATCCTTCTACAGTAGATCTTTGTACCGTGAAGCAATGTGATATATGAAACAATATACTTCTGAAGCAGATTTATGTAGTGTATAATAATGT